AACCTACATATGTTCACAAAATTTAATTTCAATACAAACTGTCGTTCTCCTTGGAGCCTCCGCGGTGTATGAGAGGCGCCACACTGTACAGAGAAAAAATATTGTATTAACAAATGTTTAAAGATCTTCAAAATCGTTTGTAGTTTTATGTAGTAGCAAAAACTCAATAAAAGTTTCTTGGAATTAGCCTTAGTGAAATATAGTAAAATTTGGAAATTAACAGAGTTAAACTTAATGCGTGATAGCTCAAACTAAATAATTTTAAATTTCATAATGTAACGAGTCAATAACTCAAATCAAAATAGTAGTATAGAACAACTTTATTATACTAACAAGTAATAATACATAAAATAACTGCAGCAAACGTTGCATCGTTTGTAGGTCATACGTATACAACTAAAGACATGTCAAACTATGTTAATTTCCAAATTTTACTTAAATAATTAATTCCAACACACTTTCATTGAGTTTTTCTGCCGCTATATAAAACTACAAACAATTTCGAATTTCTTTAGTCATTATGATACAATAACTTTTCTCTTTATTAGATTGCGCTCAATTGCTTACTTATTGTTAGTACTACAAAAAAATAGATTTACTACAAACATATTAGTGTTTTAATAAAACACGCTTTTAGATGTATCAAAATTTAATAAGAGTAACTTTATCCCTACATAATATTATGTACATATGTTTCGGCTTGTTAGGCCTGTTTCAATAGTTTTTTAAAACTGACCGTCTGACTACATTGTTATGGATAAATATATTTGCTATGGTCACAGTTTAATGGTGGTGGTTGTAGGTTTAAGGAGTTTACAATAGGGGTAATAAAAAATGTGTTTAGAAATCCTTGTTGGTCGTTTTTAGCTGATTTTAATGTTGGTAACTGTTCAAGGTAATTTAAGCGCCTGCCTTCTGTTTCTCTGTGTAATAACTTAATTGAGTTTTCATTAATTCATTTTCATTAATTCATGATTACTATTTAATATACAATGGGATGCTAGACCGGGACGCGTATTTCCATAATATACCATGTAGAGAACATAAGGTCTCTAAGCCCCGCCCACAAGCTTAGTTCAGCAGTAAAGATGTCTTTAACACGGTATAGAATGGAATGGGAAATGCGCCAAAATCGGGTATAGTTTGTAGTCGCATTACTGGCGTTATTTTTGATAGCATAAACAGTAATATTCATTTGTGTAAAATAATACCGTATAGTAAAAAACGACGTCAGCGATGGCTATGAAATGCAGATCGCTGTCATTTTATATAAAAATTTAATGGAAAATGTCATCAATCTTTATTTCCCAGCCAACTGGACGCCGTTTTTTTCAATCATTTACATTAAAAATATGACTACAAAATATAAAACAAAGACACAAATCATTTTGAAAATGACTTTAAGCCTTAAATCAGCTTTCGAAATATGACTTAAAATCAAATGACTTAAGTCATTAAAATTATTTAAATCAGAAAAATACTTAAGTTTTCTGTCATGATTATCCCCCTTACAGCTTTGCCTCCCGTATATGCGCCCCTGTACTATTCTTAGAAATGCGATGCGGGAGAAAATAAGAAGAGTTTTAAAAAGTATGTAATTAAATATATAATACCTTAATGAAAAACGCAATAAAAGTTCCGCATCAACAATAATAAGTATTCTTTTATTAAAAATCTGAAAATTAAACACTTTTCCATATTAAATCATGGGTAATAGTCACCGTATTGTAGCAGAATATCGGGACAAAGCGGCAATTATATATTTTGTTTAATGATTAAATTTATTTTTTTAGTAACTCAGATAAACGTTAAATTATGGATAAATTTGTGGAATCACACGTCAGCATTTTTTATTTCTCTATTGTTGGGAGGAGTGAGTCGTATTGTGTGTAATATTATTTTATGCTTTCATTATGCACATCAACAATTAAACTTGACCATAAACTAATTTAGGTTAGTCTGTGACTTGACTTAGCTTTTCCACCATACGCCACTGAAGTTTCTTAGGAGGACTAAATAACTTACTTCTTGTTATCAACTTAGAAAATAAAAGTCTAAAATTAAAATAATAATGAATATATTGATAGATTTAAAATTACAGAGTAATAATAAGTTAACGCATATAAACAACTCGACAATCTAGAATCTAGAACAAAGTGTAATCCGGATGTTATTAGCTCTCCGCGCCTCGCCAGCCGTTTTGCTGCCGTTAGCTAATTCACCATTCCGGGAACCATAACATCGTTATACTCGACTTGCAGGCCTGCTGACTTAAGATGTTTACATTTTGACTTCTGTTTTTATTTTTTTATTACCTACATTAAATTCAGCTTAGGTAACAAAATGGTAAGTAATAATTTACCTATTATTATATTACCTATTATTTACTAATTATTACTACCTATTATTAGATTATGTATGACATTTACTTATGTTATTGTTTCCTTATCTAAAAACAGATTATTGAGTTTTTACTTATTTCTAAAATAATTCTATTTGTAGAATTTTACGGGGTATTATACCTATACAGAATGTGTGAAAATTTTGTTAACATATGGAAAACTTATGGACCATATTAAATTTTGGTTATAAAAACAACAAACCAAACCAAACATATGTATGTGCAGTCATAAAATAAAAAAAATTGAAAATCAGCAATTTCGAGAAGGGCAAATTAAAAACCTCAAAAAAATTAACAGAAAACCATAATAAACTTTTTCCATAAGAGCTTTAGTTTCTGAGAAATTAAGCATTAAACAGTGGAAAAGCCAGATAAAACTGGATATTTTGGTTTTTCAATCTAAATTTCCTCAGAAACTACAGATTTTATGAGTTTAATAAGGCTTTCTATTTCCCTATTTGATCCTTTTAATTTTTCTTTTAATTTCTTATTTTACGACTGCATAGTTTTGTAATATTTGTGCGCCATGTATATGATACCCCAAATTTAACATGGTCTGTGTTAATTTATTTTTATGTACCAACTTTTATCAAGAATAAAATTTTCTGAGAAATCAATAATAAAAAAGTTTTCCATATGTTAACAAAATTTTCACGCACCCTGTATTGTAAAACTTAGCCTTTAATACTTGTAGTAAAATTTAACATAAATAACGTGTTTTTTAGAGCAACGCGAAGGAATAAATAGAGTTCGAAAAAGAAAGAGAAGAAGGACTACAGTAAGTAACAAATTCCGTTATATAACATCATTAATTATTATTAGTTCTTTGGGATGGCATTTTTTTGCGCTATACTTTCTTTTGCGGAAAAAGCGAAATGAATTTGCGAAAAAAGATGAAATGTGTACATACAGGATGTTTATTAATATTATGCTAATATTTAAGGATGTTAATCTTGGATACATTTTAAGAAATAAAATTTCATATGAACGTTGCAGGGTGTTCAAGATTTTTACGAACGAACGCCACTGGTCGAAATAAAAAAAAACATGCTATACATCAAAATGTCTTGATGAATACAACAAAACGTACCAAATTTCACTAAAATATCTAGAGCAGTACCTATCATAGATATTAATTAAAATGATATTTTTTGGAAATTTAAAACACCCCCTATCTCAAAAGAAAAACATTTTTATATCTCATAAGTTATCTCGACCCCTTAAACAATATTACTTTTTAGTTTATACACCACTAGCGCGCGCCCGCGACTTCATTCGCGTGTGGCGATAGCAGAAGAGATATAGGGGGGGGGGTACTTAAATCGACTTATTTAATTGGGAAATTTTTGTTTAAATTAGACCCGATTTTTGTAATACCATGTATAGATTTTTAAAAACTCTTAAAATATAATAAAAAATAAAACCAAATATACGTTTCATGCGTTTTTTCCGAAAAACTAAATATTTTTTAAACAAAAAGGTATTGTAATGTTTAAGCGGCGCCTTCACTCCCTTGGAATTTGAGTTTGAAACATCCCTTTTTATCGCACTTCTATATCTTACAATCAGCATGTATGCCAAAGTGCAGCTTTTCGTCAATAAGTTTAAGCAGGATCGTAACTGATTTGTAAACCTATTTTCTGAAACACTCTGTATATATTTTTTTTAAACCTTAAAATATGTAAATTAACAAAATAAAATAAACGCCTTTTTCCGAAAACCTAACTGCCTTTTAAATTTTTAAATCAGGGGAAAATATTGTAATGAGTCAGTGAATGAGTGAGTGAGTCAATTAAGGATTTTATATATTAGTATAGATAAGAAAATATTCTATTGATCGGCGAGTTTCAAAGCCATCGTTCCAATTCAAAATTGCCATTTTGTTTCTTTTTAATAATATAAAAGACGTCTTATTTCCATAATAAATAATTTTTTCAAACCACCATTGTTACAGGTAGTAAGGAGAAGGAAACAAGGCAGAATGTCACGAAGGAGTAAGGAGAAGTAGGAAACAAACATCAAAATTTAAATATTTATATACTATGTAAATGTTAGAGCTTTCAAAATAAAAGATATTATGATGTCATGATAGTGTGTATTATTGATTGCCTATGATATACTTATATAAATGACAGCTGAGAATTCCTGGCAATAATAATAATAATCCCTAGTGTCAAATTAAAGGCTAACTATGTATTTATTCCAATTTAAGTATTTTATTTATACCGTATGATCGAATAAAAACGGCGTCAGCGATGGCTATGAAATGAAGATCGCTATCATTTTATATGTAAATATATATGGGAAATGTCATCGAAGTTCATTTCATAGCCATCGCTGACGCCGTTTTTATTCGATCATACGGTATAATTACCCAGAACACCACAATAAAATGATTTTGTATTTTAATTTAGAGAGTCTAGGGAACATTTTTTAGAATATTTTGAGTTTACTGAAGAAACTTAAGGTGGTCGAAATTAAAAAAAAAAAATTTCGCCAATTCAGCCCTTTTACCACCAATTAAATGATATTGCAATTCAATTTGGAGACCTAAATAAGGAAAGTTTTTTCAAAATATTTAGAATTTTTTCAAAAAATATAAGTCGGTCCAATTAAAGCTTCGAATTTGGTATTATATAAAACGGTTTATTATAAAATATAAGTGTATAATAATATAAAATAAATCAAACTCTGCTCCGTCTGGTATCCCAGTGACTGCGGATTGCGGACTGCGGGTGGCTGGTGGAGAACTGCTACCGAAGGTGAGCGTATATAGGTATCTGTAAACAAAAAAATGTGTGAGTAATGAATAATGAATTTAACACCGTCAAAAAATGGGTAAAAGAAATACATATTATTATATAAAACAATATACCCAGAGTAAATATATTTTAAAATTTTAATCTTATTTTAGTTATTAAGGATAGGAAAGAATTGTGTGTTTTCCTTTTTGAAATGTACATACCATTTTACCCTATTATGGCAACTAACAAGACACAATTCTGCCAAACCCTATTGATCCTTTTGATGGCGTTAGCTAATCCCTCTGGAAGTGAACACGTTTTGACTCCAGCGCCTTACAAATCCTTTGGGCCTTTTTTAAATTTTTACCCTCCTTTAGGTTGCTCCTAGAACTGCTAGAAATCACCTTCTTAGCAATAATCTGTAAAAAATATATAGATAATAATTAATAACCTTACACATTATTATTAATTAAAATTATAATTTTTTATTTTATATAATAATTATATATATTTTTTTATTTTTTATTTATTTTATATAATATTATTTTATATAATTATTATTATTACTTGTAAGCCAACTACTGTCAAAAATAAAACACCGAGACAGAAAACTAGGAACTTATTTTTACTTACCACTAACATATTCACACCTATATCTTCATATACAGGGTGGTCCAAACTGTATTCCGGAAACTTCGGCATCATATTCTGCTGATAAAAATAAGTAAAAAAAATCGTATAAATGTACCTCCTAAAATGCTAAGTTTCGGAGATACAGGGTGTAGAAGTTTGATTTTTATTTCGATTTTTGCATAATAATTTCTGAAGTAACTTCAATATTTGGATGAAAATTGGTGTCTGGGAGAGTTTTTTGACACGAGAAATTTGATTTTGGTATCAATAACACTCCTACATATTTTTTAACTGGTTTATAGAGTAATAACTTTTCATCTGTACCTGTACAAAACTAGTGAGTAAAAAAAGATACATTTACGACGTTTTTTACGTAAAAAAGGTCTCTTGGTAAAAATCGCTACGGGTAAGGGTTCTCGAGATATTTGGAATCGAAATTATCCATACTTGTCATCATTGATATAAATTAAACACGTTGATTAAATAGTTTTCGTCAACGTAGTTTAGCAATTAGACTGAAATAATAAATTTGAATTATTTTTGTGCCAAAAGTTCAGAAACTGTTTTATCATCATTTTTTTTGATGAAAAATTTTTAGATTACAGTTGAGGTTTGGAACCTTTGGTGTTACACAGCAAAATAAAACACTAAATCACCACAATACACCAAAACACTTTTACTTTTACACTGGACGCGCGTTTCGCTAGCCATGTTAGCATCATCTAAACTGAGTTTATAATCATCTGCTGATGATGCTAACATGGTTAGCGAAACGCGCGTCCAGTGTAAAAGTGAAAGTGTTTTGGTGTATTGTGGTGATTTAGTGTTTTATTTTGTTTTATTTTGTTATTTTGTTGAAAAATTTATAATTAATTTTAAAAAAATTTAAAAGTTCCGAAATTTATCATTTCACTCAAATAACTATCTACTCAACATGTTTATTTTTAGTCAATAATGACATGTATTGATTATTCCCATTCTAAATATATTGAGAACGGTTGCTCGTAGCAATTTTTACCAAGAAACATTTTTTACGCAGAAAATCACGTAAAGGTATATTTTTTCATTCAGTAGTTTTATACAGGTACGGATGAAAAGTTGTTATTACTCTGCAAAACAGTTAAAACACATGTAAGTCGCGCCCCCTACAAATAGGAGTCAGATTGATATCAAAATCAAATTTCTCATGTCAAAAAACTCCCAGACACCAATTTTCATCCAAATATTGATGTTACTTCAGAAATTATTTGGAAAAAATAGAAATAAAAATTAAACTTCTACACCCGGTATCTCCGAAACTAAGCATTTTAGGATATACATTTATACGAACTTTTTTACTTACTTTTATCTGCATCTCTCCGGAATACAGTTCGGACCACCCTGTATATTTGCGGATCCAATCGTAGTCGGATCGTCCAGTTGCGGCAGTTGCCAGTTCCTTGTCCTTCTCCACCCTGAGAACCCAGTGGCTCTGAAAGTATTTTATTACAATTTAATTAATTATCTAGGGCTTAAAAAACGTTATTCAAATCAGGGCCGCGTAAAGGTGCTTTGGTATCCTAGGCACCATATTTATTTTGCCGCCCCCCATCAACTAATAAAAATTCAAGTAAAATTTATTATACCTAACATTGTCAACAAATGGAAATATTCCATGAAATTTTAAAAAAAAGTTGATGATGTTTTAAATAAAATTGGCATATGATATGGAATAACTGTCATGCAAATTCAAAAAGCTCCCTTTACTCAAATATATTACCATATGTACCATATGATCGAACAAATAACGACGTCAGCGATGGCTATGAAATGAAGATCATTGTCATTTCATATATGTAAAATTATATGGACAATATCATCGATCTTCATTTCCAAGTCAACTGGACGCCATTTTTTTCGATCATACGGTATTTTCTTACAGTATCTTAATAACATTGAAACTAAAAATTCATATATATTTTTGAGTTTATTACGGAAAACTAAAGTAAAATTACTGCATCGAAATATAATTAATTGCATTCACTTGTGTCATTCATAAGAAAAAAAATCAATTCATTGTTTTTGTTTGTAAGTTAATTAAAAATGTGTCATTTTTTGAAGTCTCTGTTATATTTATCAAACTTTGTAAATACATATCAAACTAAAATATCTAAGAATTGATTAATTAATTCTGAATAATTTTTGTCTATCACTTTTTTGGCTATTTAGTCCATCATGATTAGTACATCATTAGATATTTGTAGTATGTCGCATGATATCATGATTAATAATAAAATTGAACATGATGAAGAAAATCTGTAGAATCAGTTTTTCCAATAACTAAATTATAAAATATCTAAATTATAAATATATAATAAATTAATTATTATATAAAACCATTTGTTGCGATTTTTTTGTACTAGGTACCTGTATTTTTATTTTAAAGAGATTAACGTAAACGCCATACAAACAACTTTTTCACACTAATTATAGTGACAATAAAAATACACAAAAAGTATAATAATATAATATAATGTTAAACTAAAAATTATAAAATATAATCTTTAGAAAGCGTTTTCCTTGATATTTCTTTGTCAAAGTTGTTCGAATCTTCTTACAAATATCTGTCCACTAATTGATGTTAAATATATTTAATATTTGATTTTAATAATTCAAAACTAATATAATATTGTGGCAGTACGTTTTATTTTCGAACATTGTTTTCCGAGTTGTTTTTATTAAAAAAAAATGCCGTCCCCCATCAGCCGGCAGCTGCCTATCTTGCCTAATGGATAAAGCGGCCCTGATTCAAGTTATAAGTAAACCGAAACATTATTGATACTGAACATTTTGGGTTTTTAACGCACAATCGACATAAGCACGAAAGATAAGCACAAATAAAATTTCCTACCTTCTGGCTTCCTCAAAATGAAATAAAAACATCCTTCCATTTGCAATTCACAATAATTCACTCCGTTCATTAACGAACAATAATTCACACTGTTCGTTAACGTTGATCGAATGAAGGAAATTAAAAATTAAAACTAACTACTTACATTTTATTCACGAAAATATGAGAATACTGGCAACACTGTTTTTTACTTTCCGAAGACGTTCGGACGCAATCGTAATATTAGAAAAAAGTAGAATTAGGAAATTCTTGGCGCTCCCGGTACTGTCCTTTGTCGCGCACGCACAATTATTATTTAACAAAAATAGTAATAAAATATTATAAAAACATAACGATTAATTAATTTAAGAGTATTAAACCAAAAGACTTTACTTTACTAAAAGATTAAACATCAAATATTGGTGCCAAAATCAACAGGGTGTGGTGCGCAAGCCCCAACAGAAAAATTACAGCAAGTACTTAACGCTATAAGAATAAAATTTAGAGATGACTAAAAGCAAACAGCTCTGAGAATCTAACCCAACAGAAAAATTACAGCAAGTACTTAATGCTATAAGAATAAAATTTGGAGATGAGATTAAAAAGCAAACAGTTCTGAGAATCTATCAACAAAAATAATTTAAAAAGTATTAAGTCAAACGTCAATTAGGTGTAAGCGCAAGCTCCAACAGAAATTTTTAAAAATACAAGGACAATAGCCCATCGTTTAACTTCGGTAAACAGCGGCTGTCAAACGTCAAAATCAACGCGCCAAAATCAATAGGGTGTGGCAGAACTATCTAAATTTTCACACAAGTCCGAAACAAACAGAAAAAAATTAAAAATCTAATGCAAAACATAACGATTAATTTAAGAGTATTAAATTAATCGTTAGAATAAAATTTGGAGATGAGATTAAAAAGCAAACAGTTCTGAGAATCTATCAACAAAAATAATTTAATTTAAAAGTATTAAGTCAAACGTCAACTATGTCAACTAGGTGTGGCTCAAATTTAAAAAATAACGAGGACAATAGCCCATCGTTTAACTTCGGTAAACATCGTCAAAATCGACGCTAAGTGTGGTGCGCAAGCTCCGAAATAAACAAAAAAAATTACAACAAATACTCTTTGTTAACGCTATAAGAATAAAATTTAGAGATGAGACTAAAAAGCAAACAGTTCTGAGAATCTAACAACAAAAATAATTATTTTAAAAGTATTAAGTCAAACGTCAATTAGGTGTAAGCGCAAGCTCCAACAGAAAATTTTTTAAAAATATATACAAGGACAATAGCCCATCGTTTAACTTCGGTAAACATCGCTGCTGTCAAACGCCAAAATCAGCGCGCCAAAAGAACTAGGTGTGGCGGTAGAAATAAACAGAAAAATTACAACAACAAGTACGCCCTTTATGCCTTTGTAATGTAAAAAACTTTAATATTTATCGAAACGAAGAAAATTAATTTAAGAGTATTAAATCAAAAAACAAAGCGTATTACTAAAAATACGTACTTACGAGGTTTATATGTATTATTATCCATTCACTCAACACATACACTGATGCCCTTCTTCAATATCACATTTAAGCCCTTTTCACTAAACGCACTGAAAATACACAATAAATTTCTTGATGCAGTACCGTTAAAAGTTAGAAACAAACTGAACCACAACGGCTGGTCATATGGTGCAATAATTGAAAAGGATGTGACGTTGAGAGAGATCTAAAATAGAATTTGTTTTCACGCTAGGTGTGTGTGTGAATCAGCTGAAGGAAGTATGACGGCGGATACTACCATATAGTATTTTCTTTATCGCAAACATAAAAATATTTATAGTTACAGGGCGTTTAAAATATACTTACGTTAAAAATATGTAAATGTGAAATTATAATTACACAATGTTGCGCAATACCTGTATCATCCTTCCTTTTGCACACGTCACTACAGCTGTCAAGGTATAAAAAGGGCGACACGACGAGTCCAAATCAGTTCTCATCGAGACTTTGCAGGTGTCACATCGTAGTACCAGCAGCGTTTAACATAACCTCAAAAATGGAAAAATTTATTGTAGTGAAAGATTCCATGAAAAAAGTTCCGCGTTTCGGTCTTACCGGCCGTAAAATGGAATTCAAAATTAAACCAGTGCCCAGTGGTGAAGACCCTATTAAATGGATAAAGGGGGCAATTGAAGATATTGTGAAAAAAGGGATGGAGGGTGTAGC